AAGTCGAAACCGTCTCTGCGATTTAGTTCCAAGGCCGCTCGTCGTTGTAAGTGCTTGTCGCTATGCTTGCTTCTCTTGCCTTCGGGGTCACGATGCTTCTCGGCTCTTTGCGTCGTCGGTGGCGCTGTGGGGAGATCAAGAGTACGGTGCCACCATCTCTGCTTTATACTTGCCATCTGGATCTTCAACCCACAATGCGTAGCCCATGGTACCGCCCGCGCCTTCGTGATGGTGAGCGCGCCCTTGTACCCAGCTGATGCCGCTCCGTAGTCGTAGGGCAATCCTTGCCCTTTATCGCAAGCAACCTTCCCGGGGCCCGTGGCGATCTTACCCTGCGTCTGCTCGATCCAACCCGGCGTGAGTAGCTCGATCGGTAGGCAGTTCCGATCTGCAAGTACGAGCCAGGGATCATTTTGCATCCTCGCAGAGGCCGTGAGGGCTGCCATAATCTTTCTATTCCTCCGATTGAACTGCAACTTCGGCTGAAGGTACGCAGCGGCAAGGATGCAATTGCCCTCTATGGTGTAGTACCATGGGGCAGAAGCCGGCGAACGCCGTGTCGCCCTGCTTGTCCTACTTACTTTCCAATGCCCAAGAGATGTAGCTTAGATATGAGTCCGTGCTTCAATCGCATCGCCTGCCGAGCGCCCACGCTGAGATTTGCCGCTCGGGGCCGCGGGGGTGGCCGCAGCCTTCCAACCCTCTTTCTACAAGGAACTCTTTATACTCAAGATCTCGCTTGGCCCATTGTGTGTCTCGACGAGAGCCAGACAATCGTACTCCTTGCTGCTCGGTCCTTCCACGAAATTCTGACTCTGCGGTCCCCATTCTGCAATATTGCCGAACAACATAATGGACGGCTCAGTGTCGGTCTCCGTGTTCGCGGCGCTCTCGATGCTCTCGGCGGCGCTAAACAGTCTGCCCAGGAGCTGCAGCCAAAACACTGCCCGTGCCAGTCTTCCCATCAGTCTTTGCCTTCTGCTCCTCAGCCCTGGCCTGGTCCAAGGCTGCCTTGTTGGCGTCGCGGATATTCTGCTTCTCCTCATGATTGAGCGGGTTGCCCGACGGTGCTGCGCTGCTGCCAGTGCCTGTAGTAGCCGCTGCCGCTGGTGCCGCCGCCTCTGGTGCTGCTGCTGGGACTTCTGTGGCCCCACTCTTGGGCTCGGTGTCCTCTTCGCCTTAATAATATTATTTTATTTTATTATATATATATATATATAAAAATCTCCCTGTGGGGCCGCCATTGCCAACTTAGCTTTCTCGTGCATGTCTTCGATGTACTTGAACTTTGCCTGTAGCGTGCCTTTATGCTCCTGTTGGAACAGCTCAAGCTCCTTCTTCCACTGCAGAATGTTTTGCATCTCTTCGGGCGTGACGGCGCACTCCTCGAGGCACTCGAAGAGCGACGCGTCGAACTCGAACTTGACCTTGGGCGCGCCGCTGCCAACTTTCTCCTCGGGCTTGACCACCTCGATACCCGACTCCGCGTTGGCCTGCGCCAGTGCCTCCCGCTGCTGCTGCAGCGTCTCGACCCGCTGCTGCTCGAGCTTGGCCATGTACTTCTCTTGGTCGTCCAGGAAGAGTTGCGCATCAACGAGCTTCTTTCTTTGCTTGCCGATGCGGTGATCGATGTCCTTGGGCGCTCGGGTGGCGTCGCCGAGCAGCTGTGCCCCCGTGCGCGGCTTGGGAGGCGCTGGTGCTGTCTTGGCTGCCTGTTCTGCTTGAGCCTTGCGTCGCAGCGTGTCCATGGCAGCCTTGATCGTGGGGTCCGTCTCGTCGCCAACACCCTGGTAGGACGCCAAGCTCGCGATGAGAGAAGTGGTGGAGAGCGGGTCGGCCAGCTGCGCCACCTCATCATGCCCGTCCTTGTCCTCCCAACTCCAAGACTTATAGCGCGGTCCTGCCGCCATGGTGCCTTCGTCCTCCGCCCGCGCCCGAAGCTTGACCAACCCGAAGAATACCTCGGATTTTCTGCCCAAGCTCCTGACAAAAAAGGCGGCGGTGCTCCGACGGGCGGCAGGAGCTTGGTCTTGCACTTGAAACACTCCGTCTTGTTGGTCCAGTTCCATTTGTAGCCTCAAGCCTTGCAGCCGATGAAACCCGTTGCCTTCCCACTGCCGTATCCCATGCCGCTGCGCAAGTGGATCCGAGAGTGCGGTCGCGCGCGCGGGGCTGTGCCCACCTGCGGGCAGCAGGGGGCACGCAGAGACCTAAAGCGAATCAGGTCCTGCAAAGCAAGCGGGGTAGGAGGGACTCGAGCTATCCGTTTCAGCGTTGAGGCAGCTGCCTCCCAGCATTGAGTCTTGAGCCAACATGGCTACGGAGGAGGAGGAGGAGGAAAAAGAGGAGAAGGAGGAGGAGGAGGAGGAGGAGGAGGAGGAGGAGGAGGAGGAGAGAAGGAGGAGAGGAGGAGGAGGAGGAGGAGGAGGAGGAGGAGGAGAGGGGGAGAAAAGGAGAAGGAGGAGGATGAGGAGGAGGAGGAGGGGAGGAGGAGGAGGAGGAGGAGGAGGAGGAGGAGGAAGAGAAAGAGGAGGGAGAGGAGGGTCGAGGAGGTCGAGGAGGAGGAGGAGGAAGAGGAGAAGAGAAGGAGAAGGAGCAGGACGAGGACGACGACGAGGGGGAGCGTGCGGGGACTCGGCGATTAGCGGGTCGGGCGTGAGCCGCCCCGTGCCTCGCAGCGGTAAAAAAACACAGGCCGGCCCGGCGAGGGGTCGGGGCCCTTTGCAGAGGCGTGCCGCGCGGGGCATACAGCGCTTTTCCCGTGTGGTGCCCATCGCTTGAGGGATGCCATGCGGGGCAATGCGGAGAGGGGCGTACGGAGCGAGCGCGCAGAAGCGCGCCCGACTCCCCATGGGGCACGATCCGTGCGAGGGGTGCGCCGAGATGGGGTGAGGACCAAATGCAGGCACCCGAACTTGGGCCATCGGCGGAGCTCCCATGGGGCGGAATCTGTGTGAGGCGTGCGCCGAAGTGGGCGGCAAGACGGAACGCACCCACTAGGGCCGCAGGCGCTTCCTTTGGGGCAGGATCCAGCTCAGGGGTGCCGAAGTGGGCGCGGAGACGCTGCAAGAATGGGCTCTCTGGGGCCGCAGGTCGAGCGCCACGTGAGGCATGATCCACGTGAGGCGTGTGAAGGGGCGCTGGGGAGGTCCGGCCGTGGCGACGAGAAACTCGAGCGACGCAACAAAAACCGTCGAAACGACGACGACGACGAGACGACGAGACAGCGACGACGACGACGACGACGACGACGACGACGACGACGACGACGACGACGACTATGACTACGACGACGACGAGACAACGAAACGACGTAACGACGACGACGACGACAGAGGCGATGGCATCGCCGAAGGCCAGAAGTGCGCTCCTCAGAGACCCTGGGCGCAACGATTTTGCCCGCCACGGGACCCCCAAAAGGTGCGGGATATTCTCCTGAGAACCGGCTTGTCGTGCCGGGTGTGGGCCTTGACGTCCCTGGGGCCCGGCAAGGGCCCTCGGAGGCACAGCGCCACCGGCACCTCCCTCCGTGCTCCTTCCACAGCGCGAGGGGGGTGTCTGTGTGTGTTTGTGTTTGTTTGTTTGTGTGTGTGTGTGTTTGTGTGTGTGTGTGTGTGTTTGTGTTTGTGTTTGTGTTTGTGTTTGTGTGTGTGTGTATGTTTGTGTTTGTGTTTGTGTTTGTGTGTGTGTTTGTGTTTGTGTGTGTGTTTGTGTCTGTGTCTGTGTGTGTGTTAGAAATCGGCCGCGCGTCAGAGTGGCCCCGGCCAGGAGTGGCCTCCGGTGCGTGGCTGTGGGGAGCCGCGCGCAGGCCGGATCCAGGCGCAAAGGCCGATGCTGGTGAAGGGGCCCTGGGACACGCAAATAAATACACACACATAAAACATACTCCCCATATTTTCCCATATTTTCTGGCTTTTGTCTCCCCCCCCCCACTTCCCATATTTTCCCATATTTTCCTAGGGAGTCGGCGATTAATTGTGTCTGTGTGTTTTTTCCCCTCCTGAGCTGGGGGCACCCCCTGTGGGCCCGCACCAAAAGGCCACTCCGAGCGCAGGGGCACTCCGCTCGCAGCCCGAGAGAAGCGCGCGCGCGCGCTCGCAGGAGCCCGGCGCGGCCCCGCCGGGCTCGACGTCGACGTGGCGCCACTCGAGGGCCGCCGACTGGCGGCCGCCAGAGGCTCAAGCCGACCCACGGACCTGTCCCGGGGTGCCTTCTTAAAGGGGCCCTGGGACACACAAATGAATACACACAAATAAAAAAAGGATCCCCCATATTTTCACATACTTTCTGGGTTTCTATCTCCCCCCCCACTGCCCATATTTTCAATTTTTTCTGGGGATCGGCGATTAATTGTGTCTGTGTGTTTTTTGTCCCTCCTGAATTCTGGCCGGAGCTTTTCGGCGGGGGCCCGGCCGTGGCGGCGAGGAGAGGCCCCATGGGGGGCCCAGCAGGGCAAGAGCGCGTCCGCGAACACCCGCCGCGCCCTCGCGCCGTCGAGGCGCTGGATCGGAGCTCGAGTGACGTCGGGCCTGTGCCTCTACAGGAGGAGCAGTCAGAAGTAGTCAAGGCAATCGTCTGGGGACGACTGTCGATTTTTTGGCTCTTATTGAATATGTTTTGGCTACTTCTTGTTTTTCGTCCAGAACCCTCCTGCAGGAGGACACGCTCAACCTCAAGCTCGCGCCTCTCGAGGACGGCCGCCAGAGGCGCCGCCGGAGGCGGGGGCGCGCCTCCGCGTCGGGCCCCACGCGGCGGCCGCGCCGCCGCCGATGGCCGCCAACCGACGGCCGCCGAGGGCGCCGCCGATGGCCGCCATCCCCAGAGGCCGCCGAAGGCCGCCAGAGGCGCCGCCAGAGGCGCCGCCAGAGGTGCCGCCGAGGGTGCCGACGACCGATGGCCGCCGAGCAGCCGGTGGCGGCCGAGCGATGGCCGCCGAGCGACGGCCGCCGACCGCTGGCCGCCGAGGGCCGCCAGAGGCGCCGCCGAGGGCGGGGGCGCGCCTCGGGGTGGGCGGGCCTCGCGGCGGACGGGCCCGCCTGCCCGTGGGCCGCGTGGCCCGCGCCGCTGCCGCCGCCCGTGACGGCGTTGGCGGCCTGGCGCCGGCTGGCGGGCGAGCGGCGGCGGCGGCGACGACGTGGAGGCTCGAGTTGAGCAGGGACCGACCGTCCTGGCATTCCTATAGGCCTACCACGACATGTTCTTAGAACCCAGAAGTGTTCTACGAGCAAAAGAGATGCTCTTAGAACGCAAGCCCGATGTGCTAAACCAACACAGTCCTAGCCAGAAGTGTTCTAGGAACATTTCGTGGAAACCACAAAAAGGTTCTTAGAACATGGTGGGGCTACAGGCGCGCCAGGACGCTTCGCCACTGCTTGACCGAGGCTGCACTCGAAGGACTTCCGCTCACCGTGCCGCGGCGGCGGCCTCGTCGACGCGCTGCGCTGCTGTGCCCAGCGGGCGGGCAGCGGTGCGCTCCGCTCCGAACCAGCGGCGCGGCACGCTGAGCAAACGCTCTCGACCGTGAGCTGTCGTCGTCGTCGTCGTCGTCGTCGTCGTCGTCGTCGTCGTCGTCGTCGTCGTCGTCGACGTCAATGTCGTAGTCGTCGAGGTTCGAGGTCCGAAGTCCTTGAACGCGCCCAATCCTCTTCGGGCTCCCGGAGGCCTCTGGGGGCCTCCCAGGGACCTGGGGTGTGTGGTGACGGGGGCGGCGACGATGTAGTCGGCATTGTTACTTCGGAGGGGTTTGGGCGTGTTAGATCCTTTCGGGCTGCTAATCGTCGGCTGCGGCTTCGTCGTCGCTTCGGATCTTTTTGGGACGTCTCTGGAGGCTCTCGTCCCCGCGGCTGCGCGCAGCTCGAGCAACTAACCAAGGTGGACCCTGGCCAGTCCGGGGACCGATATTGGGCGGTTGGTCTGACGACGATGACGGCGGCGACGGCGCTGGCGATGGCAGCGACGTCAGCAGCAAGAACGGTTATCCAAACTGCCCGCGTGTCACTCCGCATATGCACCCCCAACCCCCTCGATCCCCGCTCTCGTTGTTTTTGCGGGGCTCTAGGGGAGAGTGTCCAAGGTCTTACGCATTGCCTCTGTGCATGTGGTGCACTGGGGCATGCGACACCTTCCCGAGATTGCTCGATCTGGAGGAACAAACAACGACACAACATAGCAACTCGGAGGTCCGCGCGGGTTTCTCGGATCGGCGCTGAACCCCCCTTCCTGGCGCGCGGAGCGCGGCAGGGCCTGCGCCGGAGGCGCCGCCAGGCTAAGAAATCTGCGCGGACCGTCAAACGTTTCTAACTTATGATCTTTTTGACCTTCTTCGCGGAGCAGCGTGGAGCTTCGCAGGTGCCCAGGGCTATCTGGGCTTCACCCGATCGCTTCCCGCCCCGTGGGCTGGCAGCTCAATTCGGATGCCACCCATTACCAAAGCGGTGCTCTGTCAGTGGGTAACATCGTTATTTTGCTTTGCTGCCCCCATTCTTAACATCATGCTCCTGTTTTCGTTTTTGTGGATTGCTCGTTTGTTCTTCTTGTTGTCTGATCAAACCCGCAACTTTGATTATTGGAGACGCACCGAGTCGTTCTGAAATCGGGAGCGGCTAAGAGGGGGGTGTCCAAGAGGGGGGGTGCAAATCATGACCGGCGGCATGTACGCGGCCCAGTGGGGGGGTCAGGGACGTAATGAAATAAGAAGAGGCGCCATAAAATCTGAGGAACTATCATGGCCCCCGCCATGATATCCACCCCCCCCTAGTCATCACCCCCCTCTTTGCCGCCCCCGATGAAAGTGAAAAACGTAGACTTGCCTTGGTCTTCTTCTGCGGTTTAGCTGGTGCAGGCAAGCCTGCGCCCTGACGACGTTGGCCCTGGCCTCCGGCACCGCGCGGAGCGCCCCGCCTCGAGCGGGCTCCACTCCCTGAGGCCGCTGGAGGCCCTCGGCCCCCAGCCTTCGAGCGGTTTTCGAGCCGAGGGGGCCGCTCTCTGTGCGCACCCGGGGCGGGGAACCGCGCCCCTGGAGGGCGTTCAGCCCAGAACGCCCTCGCCCGCGTCGCACGGGGGGGGTGAGGAGACACGCCTGCCTCCCCCCCGCCTTTTCCCCTCCTGCCCCTCCGCCTCCTCCTCCTCCTCCTCCTCCTCCTCCTCCTCCTCCTCCTCCCCCTTCCTCCCCCTCCCCCTCCTCCCCTCCTCCTCCTCCCCTCCTCCTCCTCCTCCTCCTCTCCTCCTCCTCCTCCTCCTCCTCCTCCTCCTCTCCTCCTCCTCCTCCTCCTCCTCCTCCTCCTCCTGCTGCTCCTCTCCTCCTGCTCCTCCTGTCCTCTGCTCCTCCTGCTCCTCTCCTCCTCCTCCTCCTCCTCCTCCTTCTCTCCTCCTCCTTCCCTTCCTTCCCTTCTTCCCCTCCCTCCTCTCCTCCTCCTCCTCCTGCTCCCTGCTCCTCTGCTCCTCCTCCTCCTGCTCCTCCTGCTCCTCCTCCTGCTCCTCCTCCTGCTCCTCCTTCTCCCTCTCCTGCTCCTCCTCCTGCTCTCCTCCTGCTGCTCCTCCTCCTCCTTCTCCTCCTCCTCCTCCTCCTCCTCCTCCTCCTCCTCCTCCTCCTCCTCCTTCTCTTCCTCCCCCCCTCCTCCCCCTCCTTCTCCCCCTCCTCCACAATTCCACATTCTGAATGTTACTCTCTTCTCTCCCTTGGCCGTGTCCTGAAGATGGCTGGCCCACTCGGCGCATAACAAAAACACGCAGGATTAAGACAACTGGATATTGCTTGTGTTTTGTTGTTGTTGTTGCTGCTGCTGTTGTTGTTGTTGCTGCCACAATCCGACCGTGTCGGGTTTTCCAAGATGGTGCTCCCGCTGCAACGTGGGCCTCGTTTTAGGATCTGCGCTTTGCTTCGTTCAGAACCGCGCTTTCGTCCAAGCGCGGGCCACTATATGGATCCGATTTTTTGTTCGTCGTTGCCGCGCCCCTCATTTCCCCTCCTCCCCCCTGGTCCTGTTGCTTCTCCCGCTCCTTCCACTCCAACTCCTGCTGCTGCTGCTGCTGCTGCTGCTGCTGCTGCTCGTCCTCGTTCTCCTCCTTCCGCATCTTCCTTTTCCTTCTGCTCATCCCCCCCCACCTCCTCCTCCTCCTCCTCCTCCTCCTCCTCCTCCTCCTCCTCCTCGAACATACACAGTTTCCCGGGTGCGCACAACCCGATAAGGGGTCCTGGTTGGAGTTCCAAGCCAGCTGCGACACGCGTCGGCGGGTCCGGAGCAACAGCGCAGTGGGAAGGACTGGGTGGGATGGGCACGACGTCAGCTATGGCGCGAGTGCGTCTAGCTCGCCCTCCGCCACGCCGCCCTCCCCCTCCGGCCCCCGGGCCCCACGTGTGGGCACCGGGTACTGCATCTCGGTGCCCAGTCTCACGTCGGGCGTGTCCCCCTACAGGGGGATTTTCGACGAAAAATTAAAAATGCCCCCAGCATACCCCAAAAAGGTAAAGCAATACTCAAAAAATAGCCCCTAGACTATTTTTGGACTATTTTCTATTATTTTTGAAGTTTTTTTTCTCTATTTTTTCGTCGAAAATCCCCCTGTAGGGGGACAGGCCCGACTCGAACCCGGTCCTCGCGTATGGGGCTGCCCGCTGCAGCAGGCAAGGAGAGGACCAGCGGGGTCGAACCTTCGGAGCCAGCGGCAGGCAGTTCCTCTTGTCTGCATGTGGCGCCTCAGCTGCGCCCCAGTGTCCTGGAGATGGGTGCCAGGCACGGGGGATTGCGCATTCGGTCGGGAGGAGGGGCCGCGTGGCCCGTAACCCCCATGGAACCTCGTGTCCACCCGCCCTGGTCTGGCTGTGCTCGTACAGTCAGTCCACTTGCGCATGACACTCGACTCGCCAGGGTTGGTTGTGGTCCTTCCTGGCCGAGGGACCCGACATAGCGGTGGAGGCTTCAGGGGGACCCTGGCACCCTACGCATCAAGCCGTCCCGGGTGGGCAGCGAGTCGCGGCCCATGTGGTCATTTCACCATTCCTGGATCTGTTCGCTGGGACGACACCGCCTTTTTACAGTCTTCAGTCCCCCTCTCCTCCCCCCTCTCTCTCCCTCTCCCTCTCCCTCTCCCTCTCCCTCTCCCTGTCCTTCCTCCTCCTCCTCCTCCTCGTCCTCCTCCTCCTCCTCCTCCTCCTCCTCCTCCCCCTCCCCTCCAGGAGGCGGAATACAGCATGCCTTCCCTCTCCCCCTCCTCACTCCTCCTGGCGCGTCCTGGAGCCTCTGAAGGCCTCGTCGTCCTCGTCGTCGTCGTTCCGACGTCTATTGTCTCCCAACCATCCTGGGTCTTCGTTTTAAAGAGACAGCGCTCCGCGTTCCTCTCCTCTCCTCTCCTCCTCCTCCTCCTCCTCCTCCTCCTCCCTCCTCCCATGACCACCCTTGTCATCATCCGCCGACCCCTTGGGGTCACGGCGTGTGAGATGCTTCCCCCTCCCCAAACCCCTCCCCCTGGAGCCCTGTCCAGCCTGTTTGGAGGGGGGTGGGGTTGGGGTGGGGGGCAAAAGTGCCGCCCGCACCCTTGGAGCCTCAAGGGGCCCCGAAACGGGCCAAGAGGGCCCCAAAAGCCCCCCCCCGTCGTCGTCGTCGTCGTCGTCGTCGTCGTCGTCGTCGTCGTCGTCGTCGTCGTCGTCGTCGTCGTCGTCGTCGTCGTCGTCGTCGTCGTCGTCGTCGTGGTCGTCGTCGTCATCGTCGTCGTCGTCGTCGTCGTCGTCGTCGTCGTCGTCGTCGTGGTCGTCGTCGTCGTCGTCGTCGTCGTCGTCGTCGTTGTCGTCGTCGTCCGCGCGCAGGCGCCCGAGGGCCCGCCTTCACGGCTGCGACCTTCGTGGCCGGATTGTCCAGCGAGACCCACCTGTCCACGAACTGCTGCGCGCAAGCCAACCTGGGCTCCGCCTCCTCGTCCAATCCTCCTCCTCCTCCTCGTCCAATCCTCCTCCTCCTCCTCCTCCTCCTCCTCCTCCTCCTCCTCCTCCTCCTCCTCCTCATCCTCATCAGCATCATCAGCATCAGCATCATCATCATCATCATCATCATCATCATCATCATCATCATCATCATCATCATCATCATCATCATCATCATCATCAGCAGCAGCATCATCATCATGATCATCATCATACCCTCCTCGCTCGCTTGTTCGCTCCGCGTTTCACCTTCTTCTCCTCCTTCATCCTCTGTCTCCTCTCCCTCGCTCCTGCTTCTGCTCCTCGTCCATCCTGCTCCTGGTCCTCCTCCCTCCTCCCACTTTTCCCCGTCCTCCCTCCTGCCACTCTCCTCGCCCTCCCTCATCGCCATCTCTCCGTGCCCCTTTTGGCTCGGTGTCTTTTGCTTGTGGCAGCGCAAGGAATACCGCCGACCCGCGGCAGTCCCTCGCTCCCTGCTGGGGTCTGCCCGCGCCGGGGGCCTCCGTTGCCCCCAGAAGGGGGTCCCTCGGGGACTGGCTGGCCTGGCGCGCCCCTCTCCGCACCTGTCTGAAGAGACCCTCCCCCCAGAAATGGTACACGTCGTTCGTTGCTAATCGTGCTCGTTTCTCATTGTGCTCGTTTCTAAATCTTCCTGGCCCCCCAGTGGCCAGGAAGAGGCCCAGGATAGAACAATCAGAAGCGAAAGGCTCTGGACCCCCAACAACAATCAAGGAACTCTCGAAGACTCAGACATGAACAGTGTGTATCGTAATACCTGCCTCCGTCCGAAGTCGGGCAAGCCAGTCCCCACTCCCGCCGAGAACAAGAGGAGGAGGAGGAGGAGGAGGAGGAGGAGGAGGAGGAGGAGGAGGAGGAGGAGGAGGAGGAGGAGGAGGAGGAGGAGGAGGAGGAGGAGGAGGAGGAGGAGGAGGAGGAGGAGAGGAGGAGGAGGAGGAGGGGAGGAGGAGGAGGAGGAGGAGAGGAGGAGGGAGGAGGAGGAGGGAGGGGAGGAGGGCAGGAGGGAGGAGGAGGAGGAGGAAAGGAGGAGGAGGGAGGAGGAGGAGGGAGGAGGAGGAGAAACTGCTGCGGCCGTGGGCGGAACAGAAGCGCCGTGTGCCTCGGGCCCCCGCGCGGCTCCGGCCTCGCCCCCGGGCGTGTGCCCCCCCGTGGGGACGGCCGCCCTGCGCGCCCTGCTGGGGGCAGGGCCCCCAGGATCGTGGGGGCCACGGGCTGCCGAGTATGAGGAACGAACAACACACACCCATACCCATAGTACAGGCCTCCTAGGTGGGGTCGGAGTAGATGAGGTCGGAGGATTGCGCCGCATCGCCGATACATCGGCGATGCATCGACGATGCATCGGCGATGCATCGGCGATGCACCAGCGATTTATCGGCGCCGTCGACGTGGAGAAATCGGGCTCGACATCGAGCCGCATCGCCGATGCATCGGCGATGCGGCGCGATCCTCCGAGCCCATCTACTACGACCCCATCTAGGAGGCCTAGACATAGGGAGGTCGTTGGGAGGAGGACTGGCTACGGGTATTGGTGCGGGTTGTCGGACCCTGGGGAGCGCTCCCGTTCGAGCGGGGACCCCCATCTGACAGCACGCACCCATAGCCCTCTCCGATCCCTCTATGGGTATGGGTGTGTGTTGTTGGTTCGTCAGAGTAGGGAATCGAACTCCACACACCGACGCTTCTTCTGGCCCCGCATCAGAGTCTGCACTGGAGAGCGGATCCTGGTGTATATACGTGTGTACGCGACCCTGGTGTAGACATGTTTTGCGGTTTCCCTGGGACATCGGGGACAAAAGGTGTACACCACGCCACCCCAGCGTCGCCTGTCGACCCTCGAGAAATCCTGGGATGGAAAAACAGCCCGCCACTGGCAGTGTCAATGTTCCAGTTTCTGGCCAAGCACTTCTCTCAGATCGAGAAGCTCGAGGCCGATCTCAAGAGGGTTCAGCTGCTGCCGGGACGTCCACCTGGGGCGTGAAGCCGTCCCGGACCAGGACCGTCTGGCAGCCATTGGCAAGGAGCTCTCGGCCATCGGTTCCCCGGAGGGTGCCGCCTGGGACAAGCTCGAGTTTGACCTTCGCCAGGAACGGCAGCAGATTGAAGAGCGCAAGCTCGACGGCCTGCCAGTTGAATAACGGCTTCGTACCCCGTTGCGCCAGGTGGATATAACTGTGGGCAGAAGCTGATCAGGGCTCGAACGCCATCAAGAGGGCTGCAGAAAGAGGATGCGCGAATCTCCGAGTGCGTTGCAGGAATCGGAGGCCCGAGTGTCAAAGCGTGAGCAGCTGCTGCCACGGCTCCAGTCGCAGCACGCGAAGCTGGCCTCGCAGGTTCCTCGCCCTCCGCTCGGCCTTCCCGCCTTCGGCGGCCGTGCTGCGGCTCGACACCGACAGGGTCAGGCGCTTCGTGGTGCAGGGCTTGGACGAGCTCGGTGCGCAGGTGCCCGACCTCTCGTCGTTCGCGGCCAAGTTGTGCGAGCAAATTTTTTGTTTGTTTGTTTTTTCTTTCCGCCGCAAACGCCCGCCAATTTCAGCCCCTGCTCCCATACCGTATTCAATCCGCTTCCCCTCAAGGGGGCTATCACCGCTCCAAACGAAATACGGGCACGAACAGCTGCGATGCACTGTAGCGGCAAGTGCCTCAGTGCTCGTCGCAGGCGGTTGGTGCGGAGCGAAGCCCCTCTGGGACGAGCGCTGGTCGCAGCTCGGGGCTGCGGGCACGGCGCCGCCGCCGCAGGTGGCGGGATCCGAGGTCGCGCAGGTGCGTGCAGAGACCTCGGCAGGAGGAGCCACCCCACCTGAGGATGAAACTAACATCCCAGACCCCCTCGAGTCATGAAAAATCGCGACGCGATTTTTTTTGCTATTTTCGGCCTCTGGGGGCCCTTACCGGCCCTCAGGACCGTCAAACAACGACTCAGGATGAAAAGCTGGTCCCGGGGAATGGGTCCGGATCTCTGGGGGTCGCGTCATGAAAAAATCATGACGTCGGGGGTCTGGGATTCGAGCCCTTGATGCCCAGTTGCCTTGGAGGCCAGTCGGTTGGCTGCGCGTCCTGTGCTGCTCGTCATGCCGATGGCAGCTGTTTCGGTAATGTTGATAAGCGATGATAAGCGACTGGGTGAAGTATGGCGACGCCCAGCGGGGCTACGGCTTGGGCGTGCCTCATGCTATGGGCCTGCACACCACCAGAGGCCTTGCCGCCGAACCCCGATGCGGAGAGGGTTTTGGAGGACGACCTCGGCAATCTGCAGCCAGGTGGTTATGGGACGTTCATGGCAAAAGACAGCTGCATAAAAACTCGTGGCAAGAGTGGTGTGGGGCCTACCTCGACGCTCATCTCAGCATGCCTGAAAGCCATGCGCTGCGAGCTGCTGTCCTTCTGCATCATGCGCCGCCAAGCGGCAGATTGGCCCATGCTGAATGCGAGGTCTGCCGGGCTACACGGCAGCGCGGAGGCGGGCGACGGCGAGCGTTCAACGAGTACATGCAGTCGCTCAGCGCGAAGGCCTGGAACGCCTTCTCAGGCCAGAACTGGGCCATGCTTTACTCCTCCTCCTCCTCCTTCTCCTCCTCGTACCTACCTCCTTGTCCTCCTCCTTCTCCTCCTCCTCCTCCTCCTTCTCCTCGTCCTTCTCCCTATCCTGCTCCTGCTCATGCTCCTGCTCCTGCTCTTGCTCCTGCTCCTGCGCCCCCTTCTCCTCCTCCTCCTCCTCCTCCTCCTCCTCCTCCTCCTCCTCCTGCTCCTGCTCCTCCTCCTCCTCCTGCTCCTCCTCCTCCTCTCCTCCCACTCCTCCTCCTCCTCCCCTCCTCCTCCTCCTCCTCCTCCTCCTCCTCCTAATCCTCCTCCGCCCTCCTGCTGCTGCTCCTCCTCCTCCTCCCCTCCTCTTCCTCCCACCCACTCCCACTCCTCCTCCTCCTCCTCCTCCTCCTCCTCCTCCTCCTCCTTCTCCTCCCCCCCTCCCCGCGAGCCGCGACCTGTTTTTGGTCCTGGCCGCGGCGGCGACCGTCTGGAGCGAGCTGCTGGCCCTGCAGGGGGGGGGGAGGGGGGGGGGCGCCGGGGGGCAGCACGCGCGCGGGAAGGGTGGAGAGCGGGAGGGGGCACCTCGGAGCGGGGGCCGCGCCTCGCCGCCAGTCGCTGCGACCATCCTGCGCACGGGATGAGACGCGGGGCGTGCTGCCTGTGCCGTCGGCTCCGTGGCCTCTTCGCGGTGTCCTGCGGGCCCTCCTGTCCAGGGCCCTGGGGCACTCTGGGTCATCCTTCTCAGTCTCCCGGCCCGCCGCGCCGCTTGCAGGACAGCGTGAGCTGGAGCTTTCGAACGCGCTCGGAGATAGCACCCTTGCCTGTTCCGCCTTTGCCGCCCGCTCCGTGGTAGATTTCCCGCAACGTCTCGGCGTCGGCTCGAGCTTTCCTGGCCTGCGCAATGAGTGCCTCGTTGTCGGTGAGGAGCGCCCTCAGCGATGTTGGGGTCCGCGTCCCCGCCGACCTCTGAGTCGAACTCCTCATCGCCACAATCCTCCTCGGCCGAGGTAGTTATCGGCCCCTCGCCCTCTCCATCGTCGCCTTCGGCCTCCGCCCGGGCGTGGTCAGCCGGTTGGCCTCTGCGGCCCTCCCCCTTGCCCGAAGGCTTGCCGAACGTCCGTCGGCTCCTGTCCAGGTGCTCTCGATTGGCCCCGCTTGGCTGTCCCCACGGCCTGGTCCGCAGCGTTGACGTTTGGGGAGCGTGCGCCTTGGCCGAGTCGCGCAGCTTTTCGGGCACCAGCTCACCTCGTTCTCCAGCTCCCCTCACCCGCGTTGCGGCCGACTCTCTCCACGAACTCGTCTACTCGGGGGCGCGCAAACATGGATTAGCGATCAATGGATTTGGCGCACGGTCGCCAAATCCATGGATCGGGAAGGTGCCCTCCCCCAAATGCGGCTGATGCCGCCCCGCTCGGCGGCGGAAGTCCGAGGTTTTCCATGGAAACGGGACCCGTCGCTAATCCACGCCCCCTTGATCCATGTTTCGAACTAGAAAGAACCACATGACCATAAACTCTTGGCGCTCCGCGCGGCGTTCTTGGATCCGCGCTGGCCAGGCGCGGCGCCGGAGGCGCCGCCGGGGGGCCCAGGCGCGGATCCAAAAACTCCGCGCGGAGCGCCAAAGGTTTATGCTTATGCGTTTTTTCTTCCGCACATGTTTGCGATCGCCTGGAGAGGTTTATGCTTATGCGCTTTTTCTTCTTCAAATGTTTGCGATCGCCTGATCTACAAGAGGTTTATGCTTATGCGTCTTTTCTTCTTCAAATGTTTGCGATCGCCTGCTCTACGCGAGTCCCAACCTTCAGCGGGTGCTGCTGGACTAGCCCGTCGTGAAAACAGCGCGCTCGTGCCCGGGCGCCGCCCGGCCGGGCGAGGCTCCACGGGTCGAGGCTCGCGGCCCTGCTGGGGGCCGCGGCATCCCCTTCAAGACCTCGAGAGTAGCCTCCCGCCCGCCGCTCGGGCGGCATCGCCGCGCTCAGCTCGACAGTCTCGCCCGACGCTCGCGGGTCCTCGGGCGGGTGGTATTGGGGGGGCGACTGCGCATGGACGGTGAAGAAGCAGGCCCCACGAGGGCCCTGCGAGGGCCCCTGCTGGCTCTCAGGAGGGACCCTCGGGGACAGTGTTTCTCACCCCTCGGTCACCCGCCCAAAAGCCACCCGCCTGAGATCCTCCGAGGCTCGGGCCGGCTCGGACTGTCCGTCGCCTGCTGGTGCGATCTCGCCCTCGCCGCGCTCCTGCCGCGAGGGCCCGTGGCCACCGCCTCCTCCCCGCCGCCTCCTCCCCTCCTTGCCCACCTGCTGGGCAGCCCTTCCCGGCGCGCGTCTCCGAACCGGGTCGGGCGCACCGCGCCCGCCCCGAGAATGACCACCAGCGGCCCTGCCAGGACCAGCTCGGGCGCGCGCCGTGCCAGGTGCCTCCACACACCCTCCCAAGACATCACGCGTGTCGGCGGTGGACAAACCTCCCATTAGTAAACCACCCTTCAGTGAAAGCGGCCCAGGACCGAAACCGACGGACCCGGACCCGCAAAAAGGACGGCCGCGACGCCCTCTCGCGAACCGCAAACGGCCAACTCGCTAATCGACGTGTCAGGGTAGGAGGTCTATCAACCTCCGAGCGTGCCCCGAGGCAGCGCGCGTGTCCCAGCCAATTACTGGGCCTCAGCCGTGACCGCGGCCACCGCCACCCGGCCCGCGGAGCTGCCGCCACGACCCCTCGCCGCGCCAGCTGGCCCGGGCGACCTCTCGCCACGGCCCAGCCATGCCCGGCTCCCGCTCCGCGGAGCTGCTTGCCTCCAGGGCGGGGGGCCGTCAGTTGCGGGGCTTCAGTTTCGGCGCGCTATAGGCTGCCGCCGCCCGAGCACGGCGTCCTGCGGACGCCGCCGCAATCGCCACATCTGCTCCCTGCGCGGCAGGGCCTTCCCTCGATCTTCCCCACAGCGGGCTGGGCGTCGCCGACGCCACTCCACGCAATGGGAACCCGCGCCGTGGCTGAACCCGTCGCGACCTCCGCGACGCACTCCGTGCCGTGGATCGAACCCGCTCGACGGTAGCTCCGCTATCCATGTCGACGTGGTGACGATGGTGGGCGGGGTAGCCGTGGCGAGGACTTTCCCCACATGTAGAAGTTACACACGAAAAGGTACTTGGCGAAGGTTCCATCTGAAGAATACAAACTCCCAGCTCACAAGCCGCAGGAAACCTTCCACAAGAAACCCAGCCCAGAGACCCCAGGACGTCCATTAGTTTGAGGGTGGGGACGTCACGCTTTCCATAGCAAAACCATCGAAACCAAAGAAGCCCAGGGCACCCTGGCATAGGCCCCCACTGTATGGAAGATGGGGTCCTACGGTCGGGCACTTTCGCTCAGCGTGTCGCTCCGCTCCGCGGGGCGGGAAGCCGGGAACGGCTCGGGAGGTTGACGCTTGGAAACGGGTGCACGGACAGCGTGTCGCGCCGAAGCGTAGTGGGCCAGAACTGGCGGAACGACTCGCGAAGCCAAAGCTCCCGACCGTAGAGCCTTTCTCCGCGCCTCCTTGGCGGCGCACACAAGGGGGAAGGGGAGGGGGGACGGCTTCTTAGCAGGCCGCTTCTTACAAGGCGCCTTTCCCCAGGGCTCGAGCTAAACAGTGTTTCTCGTTTTCGCTATGTGTTCGTTGTCCCTCGCCCTGTCTTCGCTCATCCTTCTTGCCGCGGGGCGACGTCAAAACGAAAACGGTCCACGAAATCGCCCAGACACCGTTCAGCTCGAGCCCTGCCCTCTCTCCTCCCACCCCACTCCCCTCCTCGCCACCGCTCCGACGTCCATGCCTCGCGTGTCCTTCGGCTTCGGGCGCTGCAGAGAAGGAGGAGAAGGAGGAGGCGGAGGAGGAGGAGGAGGCGGAGGAGGAGGGCCCAAAGTACTCCTCGAGGGCCCCTGCAGAGAAAAACGTGCGTACGCCCGAGCAATGCCGCGCCTCCGCGCATGGCCCCGCGGGGCCCTGCCCCGCCCCTCCGCCCCGCCGGCCCCGCCGGGCGGCCTGCGCCGGACGTCCTGGCGCAGCGGGGGCGAAGGCGGGCCCGCTCTGGCGCAGTCCTCCTCACTCCCCTTCGTCGGCCTCCTCCTCCTCCTCCTCCTCCTCCTGCTCCTCCTCCTGCTCCTCCTCCTGCTCCTCCTCCTGCTCGCCCTCCTCCTGCTCGTCCTCCTCCTTCGCCTCCCTCCTCCTTCGCCTCCCTCCTCCTCCTCCTCCTCCTCCTCCTCCTCGCCCTCCTCCTGCTCGTCCTCCTCCTTCGCCTCCCTCCTCCTTCGCCTCCCTCCTCCTCCTCCTGCTCCTGCCCCTCCTCGTCGTCCTCGTCCTCCTCCTCCTCCCCTACTCCTATTCTCCTCTCCTCCTTCTCCTCCTCCTCCTCCTCCTCTCTCCTCCTCCTCCTCTTCTCCTCCTCCTCCTCCTGCCCCTCCCTTTCCTCCTCATCGTCGTCCTGCTGCTCCTCCTCCTCCTCCTTTTCCTCCTCCTCCTCCTCCTCCTCCTCCTCTCCTCGTGTTTTGGTGTGTTGGCCAACCTATCTAACACATGTGTTTACGTCGTACTTGTTTTCGGGCGCAACCCGTAATCCGCCACCGTGCCCCCTGGCACATTGAGGCGTGGTAGAATGCCAAATGCTGCCTGGCAAAATGTTGCAATCTTCTACGGCGTCCCCCACGCTTCCCGGGTCGCACGCAGGCGCGCACATCACCCTTTCCATCCTAAGCGCTGTCAGCGCCCAGACACGTGCCTGGCGCTCTCCAAGGCGTCGGAGATACCCAAGATGGCTTCTCAAACGGCCAAGGCAAGCCACCGAGACCGCCAACACGGGCCAAGAGGCTTCCAGGACGGCCCAAGACCTCCAATCCGGCTCCAAGAGAGCCTCCAGCATACGCCCACATTTCTGCAAGTTTTTAAACCGATGCTCCACCAGTACTCCAAGACGGCTCAAGAGGCCCCCCCGAAGAAGGCCCCAAAACGGTGTCGGCCCAAGAGTGCTCCAATTTGGCCTCAGAAGCGCCCAAGAATACCCAAGAGCGTGAACACGAACTGGCAATTCGAGCCTTTCGCCGTAGTAGGGCCAAAACAGGCTCCCAAGAAACCCCCTAAGAAGGTCCCGAGATGCAAAAACTATTGATGGTCGTAGGCTTTGTTGTTTGGGTTCTCGCCTTTTTGAGCTTCCGACGCTTTAGGGCGGCTCAAGAGGCCCCAAGACTCCCCCGAGACGATACAAGAGACCCTCAATAGAGCTCCAAGACGGCCAAGGGGGGCTCCAAGACAGCCCAAGAGGCACCCAAGACTGCCCAAGAGGGCCCCAAGAATGGCTCAAGAGTGGGAACACGAACCGAGAATTCGAGCCCCTTCTGCCCCAAGAGGCCCCAGCAAGTCCCCTGGCCTTCTCGTTTCGTTGCCACCCAAGGTGCTGCGCTGGCCCGGTGGTGGAACTGCTGGAGGCAGCTGGATTCGATTTCGTCAGGCTGAGCTGACTGAACTGATATGATATGG